TTTGAGATGGCTTCTTCCTTCTTTTCATTGCTTTTCTTTATTATATTAGCAATGTTCATGTCTACAAACTCAGATGACTAAAACTAGATACATTAAAGTATAATGCTAAAAATTCTACATAAATGAGAAAATCACGGGGCTGGAGTAACCATAGAGATCGTGACCACAATATCACCAAGAGAATCAAGGCAGTTAGAATTTGATTTGTCTTCTCGAGGACAGAACCAAGACCTGAGATCCATGGCATTACACAAGAGACTTCTCCAGAGCGGCATTTCCCCCTTTCTTCTTGAATGGAGTAATTGGAATGCTGGTGAGAATCCACTAAAGACCAAGATCTTTATTTTGGCTACGGTAATAATAAGCAGTTCTAATGGAAACTGGCCAAAGGATGTGCTCGCTTCTTTAGAGCCAACTGTAACATCTGGCCATGTCAGGAAGCCAGATACAAAACTTCTTAAAAAAAAGGAAAACAAACAACAACAACAAAACCACAAACAAAAAAACAAACATTCGTGTTAAAGACTTATTAAGTGATTGAACACCTTTTATCCATTCCATTCAGGACTGAAATTTAACCCATCAATTTAACCCTTCAAGGCCCTACATTCATCTTTCTTCAAGACTGATTCTCACATTGTGATGTACGTAATGCCTCTTTCAAACATGTACAACTGTCCTTCTCATACTTTAATGGGCATATATGAATCAGCAGGGTACAATGTAAAAGAGCAGATTCTGACTAAGTAGGCCTAGGGATGAGGACACTAGAGAATTCTAGGTGATCCAGACGCCTAGGCTCACAACCACACTTCTGTGTAGCAAGATCTATAACCCACTTCTACAATACCTTAAGGGCATCTATCACTTTCCTTTCGAAATTCTAATTATTTACACACACATCTTCTCTCTCCACCAAATTATAAATTTCTTAGAAGCATGATATGAATCTCGATTATTTTTTTCTCTTTCACAGTAGATAGCAAACAGGCATTCAAATGACAGGAGGAAAGAATAATAGCAATGAAATAAAGTTCTTGCAGCCTGGGCCACAGATAGTTCCTCTCTACGGAATGAAAGGAAGGCTAAAGATCAATAAATGCTGTGAAAAGTCAAACTCTTTTTAAATACTTTAGATGAAAGAGCACAGCATTGGTCAATATCTGCGACGAAACCATGCTATTCCTTACACTGGATAACAGGGTGAGGAGGCAAAGACCTGCAACTTGTTGTAAAGCTAGCAGATTTTGAGGAAATAATCAAATAATAAATCTATTAATTAGGGGAGATAAAGGGATATCCTTTATAAAAACCAAGACAGACTACACGAAGAACCACTGAATCATCAAATCTAATATGCCTATCTCCTAGACTAAAAATTTGAGTTAGGTCATTTATCCAAAGTTAAGGTGTTAAGTATACGAAAGACTTGGAACTTGTACATCGATGCCCTGACATCCAGTCCAGCATTCTTTGCACTATGTATCCAAAGTTAAGGTGTTAAGTATACGAAAGACTTAGATGCTCTGACATCCAGTCCAGCATTCTTTGCACTATACTATCTCTTAGACAATAAATGAACAGACAAAGTAATAACATTTGCATTGTTCTTAAACTGAATGTTGTGAGTAAGTACATCTATGCTGAATTACTGGAAGAAGTGAAAGTAAACATTTTTTTGAAAAATGATCAAATAACATGAACACTTACATTACATATGGAGAAATATAAATGATTAATAAATGGGAAAAATATTCAACTTTGATTGTAGTCAAAGAAATGTAAATTTAAATCCTTTACCATTTTTGGTCTACTAAATTGGCACAGATTACAAAAACACCCACTGACTGAAGAGCATGTGAGGAAATAAGCATACTCATACACTGTTGGCAGGAATACACATTGGTACAACTTTTCAGTAGAGCAACCTGGTACAATGTATCAGGAATCTTAAATAATAGACATATTACATGATCTAAGAAGTATAATTCTAGAAAAGTTACCTGATAATATATTTGGAGATTTGCAGTGAATATTATCGTATAGGTACCTTTTATAGATGTTTTATAATTTTTTTATTTTTCCCTAGGGAAATAATCACATTGAGCTTTTGTGTTTAGTTACCCATCCCAGAAAGAGTTTTTAGGCATAGAGTGATATGTTCCAAAATGCCTTTGAGATCAGGGAAAACTACTTGCCTACAAAAATTTAGGATTATATGTTTCAACTGTCATCTTATGAACACCACTGAGTCTGAATAGATCTAATTCTTTAGGACTGAGGTACAGTTTGCCTGAAAAAAATTACTGTAGTAAGAGAATATATGGCTTTTTAGAGTAGGCCATTTAAGGAAAAACGATGACCTCAGCTACGTGAGAACTTGAATATTCAATAGCTGCATATGAGAAGGAATAAGTGAAGTCTGAGAAGAGAAGTGAAGGAGGAGGAAGAAAGTACATTGGGGAAGATAAGAATATTTTTCAGACAGGAAAGATTCTGAGTAAGGAAGTTCCATCACTCAGACAGAATTACCAGTCAGATAAGTAACTCCAATTATGATTAGACAGATGTTTTATGTATATGAACTAACTAGTATATGATTGTTAAAACTACTTTGGTAAACACTGTTCAAATTGAATCTAGTTTGTCTTGTACGTCTGGCTTATTAAACCTTTTCTTGGGCTTTATTTTCCAGCCCATTAATCTGTACAGGTACTCTCTAAAATGTATTCTAACTTTCTAATCCTCTACATTTACTTAGATAAATATACAAAATGTTAACTAGATTTTAGAATTATTAGAAAAAAATCCCTTTTTATATTTAACAGGATTTGTAGGTCTTCTATAAAAAGCAAGAGTTATTTCAAAATAAATGCTTTCTCCTTCTTAAACTTAGCTCTGCAAACAAATCCAAGGAAACTGAATCTGATGTAGTTTTCCCATTCGGTGTTTCAATTTTTCTTTCTAATGTCTTAAGAGTTTTTCCCTTTGTATTTTTTGGCAACCTAAAAGTAATTTCTGGCAGACAACTCATATTTCAGGCCATTTTATGGATAAGATACAGAAAAGTATCTAGAATCCTTAAAGAAAGAGTGGTGTCTACAAACAATGAGTATTATCCCAGTACTCTCAAAGGAAGAGAATGTATAATGAAATTACCAAGAACCAGCTCTATACAGAATATTTTCCTCCACATATAAGTCACTTATTGCTGTATAATTATAAGAAGTGTCTATAAGACCCTTTATCATTTAATAATACCATGTTTATATACAACTGTCAGTTCTCAAAAGTACTTTGACAACCCCTTTAGTTTTTTTATATTGCTTTTCCTCTGAAAAGGTCCAAGTGCTGTATGCGGGTTTTGAATATGACTTGCAAATCAGAGAGAAGGGGGGAGGAGGGGAAGAGGAACAGGGAGAGGAGAGAAACTACACACAAATATTAAAAATTTAATGTAATACGGTGAAATAAGCACAAATTGAAAGACCTCATTCAAGTCCTAGTGCTGCTGGTAACTAGCTATATGACTACTTCTGAGTCACTTAATTATGTTTCTTAAATTGTAAAGAAAATGCTTTTGACTTAATGTCCATCTTAAATTTGGCTTTTAAAAAATCTAGTACAATTAAACTTTTTTCAAATATTGTATTATAGTAACAACTCAATTAAAGGTATGTCATTTTTTTCCTATAGGTAGTCCTCTACTTTTGCCTCAATTTGACCTGCAACCTGGATTACTTGGGTTGTGCACTCAAGATATACTCTGGAAGAAAAGGGAAAGATTTCTTTATAAATGGGCTGGAGCTCAGCAGGTGAGGGAGTTAAGGAATGAGTACATATGAATGCAAAAGATCTGGTAATTCTCAAATCAGGAGCGCTGAAGAACTCTGCTTAAATTGGGGGTAGGGGTAGGGAGGAGGCGTTGTAACAAAAATTGAGGGAGGCCTTGAGTCGAGGTTTTCAGATAATAATAGCCTCCACCTTTATTCCCCCCAGTGGACACCACAAGTCTACAGTTCCGGGTTCCAAACCAATCACATCAAGCCACAACAGAGGGCTCTGCCAACCCGGGCACTGTTTCAGGACTCCAGAGTGAGATTCACACGACCCCAGCACCTGTCGGCCTCATACCCTTTCCAAAAGGAGGGGTAAGAGGGGACAGTAGGTCTATTGCCTGTCTTTTTCGATTCAGGCTACCACCCGGTCCAGGAGCTCTCGAGTCTGAAACCACCACCGTACTTCGGGAAAAAGGGGAGCTCCTCGCTGTGACCCTCCCACGTATCCTTCTCTCAGGGCTAATTCCCCTGTTTACAGGTCTCAACCTCCCTCCGACCGTGTTTTCTCAGGCCTCGGGGACCCCAGGCCTGGAGAGTGGACAGATGGATGCCGAGAATGAAGGCAGCAGGGAGAGTGCACTCTTCGCCACCGGAGAAAAAGATTCTAAAGCAAAGTACGGGCAGCTGTGTTGCCCCTCAGTGAGAGCGGGAGGCCATCCCTGCGTCTGTCGAAGGGTCTGTCATTCCTTCACTCACTCACCAGGAGCAGCAGGGAGCATCTCAGGTCGGGTAAGGATAGAAAGACGGCAGGATTCATGGTAACGCTGGGATCCGCGGCAGGGGCAAGCGCTGGCTGCTGGGACTGGGCAGGGTCGGGTTGGGTTAGGAAAGGGCTGGGCTCCGGGAGCCGGTGGCAGCGGAGAATTCTCCCGGCCAGCAGCACCTCGTCCTCTCGACCCGGAGCTCTAGCGGCGAACACCCGGGACAACTTCCAGAGAGGCCTCGCAACCCTCACTTCCGGGTCCTGCCCACTTCGGAGTACATCGGGAAATGTAGTCTTGCACCACTCTTACTGAACATCTCATCTGGTATCCAGAACTCCTTTCCCATAAGGCTCTCGGTTCAGGTCCACCGAGTCCTTTGCGCGCGGAGCCCTGTGGGATAAAAAGGGCGGCGAGCTGGTGCACCACTGTGTTACAGAGGGTGAGAACTACAACTCCCAGAAGGCTGTGCGGTCGAACGTCTTGGGCGGCCTTCCGAGGGGCTCTGTTAGTTTCAGCGCGGTGGTGGGGTTCCAGCCAGATGTAGTGTACTGTCCTGGCGGGAGGGGCGGCCCAGTGTGGGGTCGTGCCTCCTGGAGTCGTCCCCAGGACGTGAGTCCTGGAGGAGGCAAGGGTGAGTAGGAGGGGTCCTGGCTCCGGAGGCTCCGTTCAATCTGCACTGCCTTGGCCCCTGCCTCAGACTCAGGGCCCACCTGACCTGGGCTGTGGCCGGAGCCTCCATCGCTGACCGCCTCGCCTGCTGCCTCTTCTTTCTGCGCTAATTACTGCGTTAAAAAGTCGGAGCCACCTCTCAGGGCCTCAGCTATTTAGTAAATGACTTATCCCTAATTGTCTCTGTGGGCTCGTGTAAGGAGTAGATCCGGGTAGGATGGGAAAGCACGTTGTAAACTGAAGAAGCTCAAGTGTGAGAGTAATTGCTGATAATGCATGGATCACTCCCCACAAGGTATGACATTCATTAGCCAAGCAGGCAATTGAGGATCTTAATCTGGTCCCAGTTAGCTCTCGAGCCTCATCTACAAATACCAGCCAGGTCCAGATTTCCCAAATGGTAGGTGGACAATCACTACTTAGTACCCGAGAGGCATTCTGCTTTTTGTGGTTGCCCCTATGCCTCGCCTTTGCTCCAACTTTGCTGCTGCCTGGAATGGCCTTAACCCCTTCCATCTCAACTGTCACTGTCTCAGAACTTCCCAAGCAACCAAACCTTTAATCCTAATCAGAATTACTCTTCCTTTGCTCGTGACTACAGCACCACTAGTTTTGTACAGTTATAATTATTAGAACATTTATTACACTGGCTTGTTTTATAATTAGTAATGATGATGATACCTTTGCATTTTATGGCGTTTTATAGTTAACGTGGTTTTGATTCTAGGGAATCACTTTCCCAGGGTGATGAAATTAGATAGGGGGAGAGCCAAGACTTTTAATTAAGTCTCCTGTCTCCTAGTCCAGTGCCCTTCTCTATGCCACTCATCTTCCTCTCTGACAGAGGAGGCAGAGATGGGGAGTTTGAGTAGACACTGAATATGAACACATTACTCCAAGAAATTAAACTTTGATCCTACTTACCCTCAGGACCTAGTACTCAACCTGTAACTTTTCATTCAACATTTACTGAACAACTATACATATACCTGTTGGTGAAATGTGTATAACTTTATATAACTGAGATCTAATTTTTAGTATATTTTCAAAGAGTATGAAGAGTTTTGGGGGTATTTGTGTATGTGTATGTGTGTGATTCAGATGGGCCTAAAACTCTGATCACTTAGAATCTAAAATGACATTTTAACTTATCAGAGTTCAGAACAATGCCTAGCACATAGTTGGTACTCAGCTTTTTAAATTAATTAACATAGTCTACCTTTTGCATTTTCATATTTTACAGAAAATCAGAGGCGAGGTAGCCTAAGGGCACGCTGCTAATTATTAACAGGACCTAGAGCACAAGTACAGTTACTCCTCTCCTGTGTTCCACCTCCACCTCTGTTTTGTAGATTCTTTCAGGTCACTTTAATATAATCCTGCACATGACAGTGGTTTTTCTGACATGACAGACATGTTCAGACATGACAGAAGTGTCTCACAGTGCCCATATAAAATAAAGACATGAACTAACCTTTACCAAAATTAAGAAAACACTTTCACTCTTATCATTTGAATCAAAAATTCTTGTCAGTTTCAACAAGTACTAGCTCATCAGCAACGATAAATTTATCTTACAAAACTTCCGGATTCTCGGGATTCATGGAGATTGAAGTGACGCTTTTTGGTGAAATCAGAAGAGGGCCTGCCTACCCTTGTGACAGCTATTAACTGTAGCCAATTAACAGTTGCTCTCTTTAGATAGCTATGTATGTTCCAGTTTGCTGTGATCCCCATGACTCCCTATGTTTCTTAAACTTTTTAACCTCCTTGGTCCTTGTAGGCATTCAACTTGGAAACTTTGATATAACACCTTATGTTTAGGAAGAAAGTTTAAGATTACTGATGGAACTACCCCTCTTTCCTTCTCATGAGGAGCTTGAACTTTTGCTGCATTTCTGATAGAATCCAGCTTTTGCTTAAATACTCTTATGATAGAGAACTCATTATTTTCCTATGTAGATAATGTATTTCTAGAACTGTATTTCTAGACAGTTCTAGTAAATCACATCTGAATACCGGTCAGGACAAAATTTTCCTTAATGAAAGAAGGTTAATCCTGATGATGTGATATTCCAGGTAGGATCCTAAGGTCAAGATCTTGGGCTAGGTATGTTTCCCTGATGGACATATGGAGAGAACAAATAAAAATTCCTCCTTTTGTCTGCATGAAAAAAAGAACTAGGTACTTTTTAATTTAGCTCTTAAACCTAGTTAATTCTGACCTAACAATTAAATTCACATCATACCCATTTTGTGGCCTGGTCATCTCCTTTATTCCCAATATTAATTCTAAGGTTTAGTGTTATGTGGAATCAAATTATATTAACTTAGAAATCAATGTGATTTTGGGGGTCCTGTGCTTCATGTTAAATATCAAGCCTCCTTTTTTTTTTTCCCTCAGATAGCTCCTGAGAAGGAATCTTAGATGTATCTAACCCTCTTATTTTACAGATGCACAATTTTGTACCAAGAGTCCCCTAATTTGCCACATTATAACAATTCTAGGACTAGGACTGCAGATTTTTCTAATCCTAGTCACATATTCTAGTAAATCATATTTATAATATACCCATTTAGAACTGATAAGACAGCTTTCAGAAATGTCTCCTCATGGTTTAAATCATTATTTCAGGTTGCTCCAGTTGTTGAGAAGACTATGAACAAATCAGAGAACTTGTTCTTTACTGGTTCCTCATTAACATCTCAAGTTCATGCTGCTGCTATTAATGGAGATAAGGGAGCTCTTCACAGGCTCATTGTAGGTAAGCAGTCCCTGTAAATACAGAAACTCTAAAAATAACTTTGTCCTAAGGAAGTTTGTTAACCTTAGTTTTAATTTGCACTGTACTTACACATTTTAATAGAAATATGTCATTATTTACATTTTGTTCCAGAACTTAAACAAGAAAGAAATTAAGTCCTGAAACTTAAAAATATGGATTAAAATTAGGTGAAAAGTACATGAGAAATATCTGTGCGTTTGGAATTGAACCTGGATATGTACTCTAAGATGCCAAGAGAATTATTTCATCTTTGTAATAACAGATATCTAGAATGACATAGTAAATAATGATCTTTAACATTTACTATATACCAAAAGTACTAAAGTTTACAAATAATTTAAATTTTAATGATTTAAAATCGATTCAATGTTTTTTCTATCATTGATTCAATTGGTTGAAATTGATTCAATGTTCTGCCTATCATACATATAGAGATAATAGGTCCATTACAGAAGTTCTAGAAAGGGAGAACAAAGTGAATGGGAGAGAAACAGTATTCAAGGACACAATGGATAAGAATTTCCCAGAGTCGTAAAACCCACAAATTCACCAGTAAACTAGTCATTAGTCCCAAAGAGAATAAATAAAAGTATTTTATCTATGATCATTTTACACACCAATGTCTGATGACATCATGATTGACAACTTGGGCTTTAAAATAAAGTCCACACTGCTTGAGCTTTCATACCTGTTCCTTCAGAATTTATTTTCATCTTACCTTTCCAGTTTATTCAGGAATTTCTACCCATACACCCTAACCTCTGGCTAGGCGTTCTATTCCCCAGTATGCGGTGAATTTTGTCTTTTATGTATACATCTGTTTCCTCTCCTCTTTTCTACCTTCTCCCCACTTACTCTCTTCTCTACTAAACAAACTCCTATTTATCTTCAAAGACAGAATCCTTATACCATATGCTGTGAAGATTTCTTTATCAGAGATGTTATCACATGATGCTTCAGCTTCACCTCAGCTTCCTACATTCACGGTTACTCCCTGGGATTTGACATCTCGAGTACCTCTGAATCATCCATTCACACATTGCACCATCCAACTGAAACTCTTTCAATTCCAGTTCACTTGCTAATGAAAACAATACTTTTTCAATAGTTTTTCACTGAGACTTCCATAATCCATTAACTTCTCCAGTTTCAACTCTCAGTCTCCTGTCTTTACCTTCTCCCCTATTCAGTCCTGATTCCATAATCTTATTACTAAAATATTTCTCTTTGAAAAATTATCTTTTCTCCTCAACTTCTGTTGCATCTGGCTGTTGCAAGCCCCAGTTCTGGATGGACCTAGTCCATCTTCTCTGCCAACCCCTGGACAATTTAACCTGTCTGGAAGATTGGTAGCACCCTAAATTAATGATTACCCACTTCCAGAGGATACTCAGTACTTTCTGCTCAGAACACATTTTCACATAATGAGTGTTTCATACCTTCTCACTCTACTGAACCTCTGACTGCCCATTCTCCCTCTCTCCATTGTCACCTAACACTTTATGTTCCTACAGAAAATGAAAACTTTAAATAAGAACTCATCTTTCAGCATGATATCTGCAAATCAACCTACTTCTGCACCCATCTTCTCTCTTTCTGCTAAAACAGAGCAAATATCCTTTTCTGTCAAAGGTCAGTTCTTCCACACATGCTCCATATTCTATCCCTCCTGTCTTCTCAGGGACCTTGCTCCATTTTTTTAAATCTCCGATTACTACATCTTCAACCTTTTCTTCTATTCAGTATTCTACCCATCAACATTTAAACATGCTCTGTTGTCTCTATTACTTACAAATCTCTTTCATCTCCCTCTAGGTATTGCCATATTTCTCAACTTTCCTTCCTAACTGCACAGGCTAAACTGCTATAACAGTGACTTAAATAAGGTAAAAGTATATTTCATTCACAAAACAGTACAAAGGTAAGTAGGCAGCCTATGATGGATAGACATCTCTGCTTCACAAAATCCAGAGATGCTGCTAGGGCACGGCTCTGCCATTCTCAACATGTGGCTGCCATCTCTGGGTCAAAGGCAGATACTTACACTGTAGTCATAGCCCAGCCAGCGGGAAGAGAGTGCAGGAAAGCAGTTTGTCACTTAGGAGATGCACTGGACTTAAACACAGAGCCACACCCAGGACAAAAGAGACTGAAAAAAAAAGTCTCTCCCTGTATGGCGTCATGCTCAGCTAAAGCTCAGGGTGCTCAATGCATAAAAAGAAAAAATCAGAGAATGGATATGGGGGTAATTATCACTCTCTATCACCAAAACCAAGCTTCTTGAGCTGTTGGTACCCATTGCCCCCACTACTTTACCTCAGTCTACTCTTTTATTAAAAGAAAACAAAGCATACCTCCTTATTTTGAAATATACATATAAAAAGATATATACGACTTACAGGTACAGTTTATCAAATAAATATGAAGCAAACATCCATGTAACCACCATTAGGTCAAGAGACAACATTGTTCCAGAAGCCCTTAATGCATCCTTCCCTGCCCCTTGGAGTAATTTTCTATCTTGACTTTTATGATAGTAATGACAGTATAGTTTTACCATCTAGGTATAAATCTTAAACACTATAATTTCATTCTGCTTCTTTGAAATGTTCTTGCTAAATGTTCCATGTTTACTTGTACTGAAAGTTGTGCATACAGTTTTGTCATTTTCCTGCACAAAACTCTTTAATTGCTTCTCATTGTATTTGGAATAAAATTTAAAAGTGTACCTATATACCTTTCCCCTCTCCAACCTCACCTTTCACCACTCCCTTCCAAGAAAAACTTGCTTTCTTTCAGTTTCTCAAACCTTCCAACCCCTTTTCCATACCAGGGATTTTGCCTAAAATATCATTCTCCCCATTCTCTATCTGACTAACTCTTACTCATCCTTCAGATCTCAGCGTTCCAGTTGCTTCTTCAAAAAGGCCTGCGCTAACCATCCAGTCTTAATGAAACTTGTTCATTGTGTTCTCTATTGGAACTCTATAGTTTTATTTCATAGAACTTGTCTCAGATTGTAACTGTATATTTATATGCATGACTCTCTTCTGTAATGTCTCTCTTCTGTAAGCCAGTAGCCTCCATGAGTATAGACAGTGTCTGTTTAATTCATCACTATATCCACAAAATCCAACACAGTACTTGGCATATGGTATGCACATGAGAAATATTTGTTAATGAATGAATAAATATTACATTCTTTTAAGTATCTTTCCTTCGAAAAAGTCTGTAATCATCTTGAGGGCCAGGATTAAATGGGAATCAAGTTGAACTGAATTGAGAGGCAGGTTAGGACTAAATTTCAATGGAAAATAATTTTTTTAAGTCAGGATACCTAAGAGAAAACATCTTATAATGTGAATTCTTTATTATTTTAATTAAAAATATAACCTTCAAAGGAAACAGAATGTGCATTATGTTGTAAATTAAAAACACTTATACAGGCTTAATCATACTAATTAACTAATACATTATATAATAAAGTTTGAAATATTCCTATAATATTATATCCCCAAAGAAAAAAATCCTTAAAAACAAAATGATGTGAAACCAGTATAAAGATGATAAAAATATTTATAAATTGGTTTCCTATGTTTTCTATCATCTTGTCTCATTACTGACTTTGAGCTGTAACACTGCTCATCTTTTAAGAATTCTGCTGTTGTGTCTTTTGTGCAGAAACAGTAATATCTTTGCTCTGTGGTATTTCCCAATATTTGTATAGTCCTACTAAAATAACTTATTTAATTTCAATGTATCTTATATATTCTTTTATGTAGCACGTTTCTCTTTTCTAAACTAGTAACATAGTACTACAGATGAATTATATTTTTCTTGAATCTTGCTCACCAACTGCTCAGTGAATTCATTCACTTTAGCATTTTCTATTTTCCCTTCTCTGTTTCCATGGAGAAGTATGTCAGTGATGTGTTTGACTCCATGGAAACAGATGAGCATGTCTTTCTACATACACAACTAATTAAAATCGAACACTTTCTGTGCTGCCCATTGTCCCGGTGGAGGATTGAAGAGGCTTTCCCTGAGCAAGACATAATTTTAGTAGCAATTTTTAGTGTTTAACCTAATACAATGGATTAATGTTTTAACATAATTCATTACATCTTAGATTCAATGAATTAGGGCTCAGTCTTGGGCCCTGAAAGCATAAACATACATAGTAAAATTCTTATATGTTATAGTTATCATTTATAGAGATATGTAGCTTTTCTCTTAATATCAAACCTAAATAATTTGAGTGAATATCAGAGATATAGTTGATAATAGAATTTCATAGATTCATTTCAATACTGTACAATGTAATGTAATGTACTAGAAAGATTTTGGATTTTAGAGTCAGATAAGCCTGAATTTTCAGTTCTGGCTTTGTCATTTATTACTGTATTACCTTGGCTAAGCCACTTAATCTTTTTGAGGCTCAGTTTCCTCATCTGCAAAGTATAGATTATCATACTCTGCATATGTGAGAATTAGATAATGACTCTAAAACATCTAGGGTGACTATAGTTAATATTACTGTATTGTATATTTGAAAATTATATTTCTCATCACAAGAAAAAAATGGTAACTATGGTAATGGATGTTAAGTAGACTTACTGTAATCATTTGGCAGTATGTACAAATATCAAATCATGTTGTGCACCTGAAACTAATATGTTATATGCTGATTATATCTTTTAAAAAATCCACCATCACACCTGACACATAGTAGACAATAAATAGGACCTTATTATTGTTATTGTTATATCAGGTTGGACTTCCAGTAAAATAATCAAATCTTACATAGTTTCAGAAATGCTTTAAAATGAAAAAGCACTAAATGCAACAACAACAAAATACTATTTTTTTTGTAAAAGCCAAACTAAATTGTTTGTAAATATGCATAGTGTGTAATGGTTGATATTGTCATTACTGCTATAGTGTTTGGGGTTACTGGCAGTGGTTGAATGACCAGGCAG